TTCTGGCTTCAAACACCAAGAGAATCTCATTGGAATACTTTGCCCTCCTTTTCCTTAATTTGTCCAGTTGTAGTCATCTTCTAACCTTAGTCTTAACTTGAAAACATGGTGTCATAGCTGGTAATTTTAGAAGGGAGTGAAAAGAGAAAGAAAAAACAGACCCAGTGGGACGATGTCGTGGGAGGGAGGGAGGGGGAGAGGAGCCATTCTAGTGTGGCTTTCAGGTCCCGCCAGAGTTTCCTTGGAAAGAGGCCAGCTGTCTTTCTTTGTTCATCCCTCAACTTTTCAACTCGACTGCCCTTCATGGTTTAGCCTGGGACTATACAAAGATCCTAAGCATCTGGGAACAATTTAATTCTCTTAAAATGCATTAATAATTGAACATGATACCTTGCTAACCATTTCCCCGATGAAAATGAAGACCTCCCCCCTTTAAATGAATATTCAACAAACATAAGCGTGGTAGGTGACATCCGTGATCCATCCAGAACTGACAGGAGTAAAAAGCAACCAAAGTACCGAATTCTAGATCTTCCTACCAACATGGATCACGGTCTATAACAATGAGATCAATTCAAGCACTGTCAATGAAAAAAAACGAGGCTGTCTCGGGGTCCTAGATCCCCTCTATCAGGAGGACTGCATGATGTACAGAAAAGCAAATGAGCCATCTGTCCACCAGTACCTGCTCCTCCAGTCAGGTGTGAGATGATAGCTGAAGGGATGCAAATCCACGGCTACTCAGGCAAATCACCAGCAGTTGAAAGGCACAAGTTAGGAAATAAAGCAGTAAACATACTTTGGGGTAAGAGATTGGATTAGCAAGCTCTGCAAAGACAGCCGAAACAAAAACACTTCTTAGATGTGGAATCTGATAGACGTCATCAGCTTGAGCACAGGATGTTTGAGATTCTGTAGGAGCAGGTCACCTGACTGTCCCAAGATAGTAGAAGCCTTGCATTGGACCAACTTTGCTTCCTTTGTGGAAGTTTAAAACCTTATTTTGATTGTGAATACAATACAGTAGCACATTCAAAGAAAGATACACAAAGTATCACAGTGAAATCCAATCTCAACGATTTTGTAACATGTGGCAGATCCCAGTAGGAAATGTGTGAAAGTATTCTCTCTCAGCCGTCAAGTTATTTTAACAGGAAAAACGGGAATCAGTACTGAAGACGGAAAATAACCAAATTGAAACTTTGGCCTACGGAGCCCAGACTGGATCCCCCAAACAGTCTCCACATCACAGAGAGACAGGAATTGGTTCCTCAAGCTCACTGCTTCTGGAAAGCCCACCACAAAACCAAAGGTGCAGGCTGGGAAGGTGGTTCAGTGGTAGAGTGCTAGGCTAGCATGCCTGAAGCCCTGGGTTCGATTCCTCAGTACCACATAAACAGAAAAAGCCGGAAGTGCTGCTGTGGCTCAAGTGGTAGCCTTGAACAAAATAAGCTCAGGGTTCAAGCCTGAGAACGGGAAAAAAAACCAACCAACCAAACAAACAAACAAAAAAACCCTGACACCCACCAAGCACGGAGCCACAACAATATGGAGCTTGTGTCAGTGATCTTATTTAACTGCGGTGGCAGTCTGACAAGTCAGAAAAACTGGTCATCTCCACCCTACAGATGAAGAAACTGAGGCTATCTATACAACCAATAAGGACCAGGCTGTGGTAGGAATTCAAAGCTTCCTCTCATGCCAGCTCCTGGCAGGGAGTCCTGAATCTGGCCACCAGTACCCCCCAACTGGAGGAGGACTTGACCTTCACATGAAGCACCTGCTCCAGAATACACACACACACACACACACACACACACACACACACACACACACACACACACACACACACACACACACACACACACACACACACACACACACACACACACACACACACTAGCCTTGTCAAGCCTTTGTCAAGCCTTTCTCTGAGACCTGCTCAGGGCCACACACAAAAATACTTTGTGGTAACTAGGATCATCAGGAAGAAATACTATGTCTCCTCCCCAAAGGGAAGAAATACTCTAACCAGTTGTATTAAGCCATTGGCACAGCTAATAGCAGAGGGACAGAGACTTGGCAAGGCGTGGCCCTCTGATCTATGGTAGATGCCTTCAGTGCGCCACACGGGGATCCAAGATGACAGCAGCGGCCACATGGGGCTACTGAGTACAAGGATGTGAGCTATCCCAATTGTGTTGAGCTGTGAGTTTAACACACAAGGCCAGATTTTAAAGACCTAATTTGAATAAATATGAATATTAAAGCACTTTAGTAATGTTTTATCAGTTTTGTGTTGACATGGTAATATTTTTGATACACCAGATCCAGGAAATAATTCTCCAAGTTAATTTTCTCTGTTTCTGTGCCCATTAGAAAATGTAAGAACTGGTCTGGGGGCTGGGAAGGTGGCTCAGTGGTAGAGTGCTTGTCTTGCATGCATGAGGCCCTGGGTTTGATTCCTCAGCACCACATAAGCAGAAAAACCCGGAAGTGGTGCTGTGGCTTAAATAGTAGAGTGCTAGCCTTGGCTGAAGAGCTAGGGGACAGCGCCCAGGCCCCATGACCCAAAAAAAAAAAAGAAAAAGAAAAAGAACTGGTCTGTACCCTTCCTAAGGATTGTTGATTGTTCTGTAAGCCTAAGGTGGAATTTCAAGGGCTGTTTGCTCAAATGCTGTCTACCCTGTAATCTTCCTCCAGGGAGGGGAGCCAAAGGTCATCCACCTAGGAGATTAGTGTAGAAACTCTAACCAAAATTCTTTCCAGAAACCCTCAGCTAATGAGGAATGGGGTGGAAGGCCTTGTCCCCAAAGCATGGAGAAGGCTGACTTCTCCCAGACTGTTCCCAGGTTCTGGAGGCACATAATCTATGTAGAATGCCAGTCCTGTATGTAAAGGCCACATATGTAATTTTTAAATTGGGGGCTACACCTTAAAAATGCAGAAAAAGAAAGAAATGAACCACAGCCAATGGCTCACATCTATAATCCTAGCTACTCAGGAGACCCAGATCTAAGGATCAAAGGTCATAGGCCAGCCTGGGAAGACAAACACCAAGAGACTCTTATCTGCAATAACCATCCCAAAGCCAGAAGAGTAGCTAAGGCTCAGGTGGAAGAGCACCAGCCTTGTACAAAAAAAAAAAATCTAAGAGACAGTGTCCAGGCCTGATTCAAGCCTCAGTACTGCACACATACACCCCCACACCAAACCAAACATTTTAACGCAATAAACCCAAAGTATTCTTGTTTCACATATAAGCATTATAAAATGATTACTGTTGTAATTTCATATTCTTTTCTTCCACACTAAATTTCCAGTATGTCTCTGTCATATAATCCCTTTACACATAGCTGCCAGGAGTTGTGTTGTTCTAGAACAAAGGGGAGAGAAACAGGGTAAAACCTGTGACTCTGAGGCTATAAATTCTGTGATGGGTCACATGACATTAGCCACCAAGTCTATGGCTGTAAAGAATTTGGGTGGAGGTGGGAAACAGCCCTGTACTTTTAGAGCGAAAAATATCCGTGGATGAAATTACACACTAATATTAAGTAACAGTAACCATTGGGTGATATAATTGTGGATTTTCCTCTCTTTATGCTTTACCATACTTTTCAAATGTGCAACAAAAGTTATAATACCTAATGCAAATTTAGAAATTATCATTCTAAACTTTAATGTGATTAAAACACTGAGCCATGAACTATTCCTGGGGCTACCCTGTCTAGCCCTGAGCTCTCTTAGAAGGTGATAACACACCTCCAGATTAAAAAAAAAAAAGTTTATGATACAGTTGTGTGAAGATGGGAATAGTTTCCCTAGCTACACAAAGGCTCTTCCAAGGCCTTAAAAGGGAATGCAAAAGACACAGACCAGTCAGGGCAAGAAGACATTGCTCACTAAGTCAGTCTAGAACAGGTATCAAATGCAGATTAGCTCACATCTCTTGGGCAGCACAGGCCAAACAATGCAGGCCCCAGAGTCATGACAGACTCTGTTGTGGGCCTGGCGAGGAGGCAGCTGGGAGGCGGGTGGGGGGATGGGGAGGGAAGTGCTCAGACTTGAGAAGCAGGTGACCATGCATTCTTTCCGCGTGTGCAAAATATGAATCAAATCATTTACAAACGCCTGCAGCTGTTGGGAGGAGATGTAGGTACTAATTTAGAGTCTGACCCACCCTGATTTCACATGTGTGCTTGTGTGTGTGTGTACATGCGCGCAACAGCCAACACTCTGGGGATACTGCAAAGCTTATTCATAGTGTTCATGTCTGCAAGGTCTCCTTTTCCTTAAACTTCTGCAGGACCAAGGTGGCCTTGCCCTTAGGCATGAGCAGGCCACCCCCTGCACATGGAAAGATCTGAGTGATAGAGCCTTCCGGGTTATCTACCCTCATCTCAAGATCTCGGGGGTACATGGCTGCGGTGTGTTGGTGGGCCATGCCTGTGTCAGAGATTAAATCAATATGGACCTATCTGTCTCAAAAGGCAATGAACTGCATTACTGGGTGCCTGAGATGGCAGGGAGCTGGGGCTGGGGTTGGGAGGGGGTAGAGCTGCAGAGCTTCTTTTGGAAGGGAAGAACACGTTCTCAAATGGATGGTCACACAACTCTAAGTACTCTAAAGGCTGTTGGTCTGTACATTTCTTATTTGTTTGTTGAGGGTTGGTGATAGGCCCAAGGTGGGTGAGCGTGCTAGCCACACACTCAAGTCTGAATTGAGTCCAGTAAATGAGTGAGTTGTGTGGTATGTCAATCCTATCTCAGTATAGCTGTTTGGTTTGTTTGTTTTTTTAAGATAGTAAAGTGCAGTATGAAAGCAGCTCAGTCCTTCTTACAACATGGAGCTTTGAGTCACCGTGGCTCTATTTCCAAGGCCATCTGCCTCTCTCTTATGTAGGACTTGTGTATTAAAGCTACCATCCTCAGTGAACTGTCCAGTGCGTCTGCCTCTAAGTGACAAGATCTTCCAAAGTTTGGTAAATGTCACTGACCTCGCAGGTCCTCCCGGGCCTCCGACCTCATCCGAAGTCACTCCCAGAACATCCTTCTCAGGAATCAGAGGGAAGGTAGCTGGACCAGACCCAGGGTTCTTCCTGAAACAATGAAAAAATAAAACAATAGGGCAAGATCGATGGTGACAGGGCCATCTCTCTCCCTGTGCTACTAGAAGATCTTGTTGCCCAGTAAAGGCTATTGGGTGACTATTATACGAAAAGTCCTCCTGGGCTCCAGGAGGCTCTGAATCATTTCAGAGCCCTCTGCAGAAACAGACTCCACTGTGTCTGCACCCCGGAAAGCTTACGATTCGCTTCAACCTATCACCCAATCATGCACAGCCAGCTGGGAAGCACTCTGATTTTCCAGAAGTTAAACTTACGTAGTTAAAGTATACAAAGGGAAGCTGGGCATCATGGCACAGGCCTGAAATCCTAGCCTGAGCAGGAGGATCTCAAAACCAATTTGAGCCTGAAATACCGAAGGAAACTCTGCCTCACATAATGAAATCAAACACACACACACACACACACACACACACACACACACACACATATACACACAGAACACAAAGGAAAGGAACAAGACAAGACAGACCCAGAGCTTCCACACCTCCAGCCATTTCTACTCACGTTCTTCAGAGTCTCATCAAAGTCAACACATTTAAGCTATGAGGCACGAAACCTTGACTTTCTGAGAACCACCCAGCTATTTGATTGACCTTTAAAAAGTCAGCATGGGCCTCAGCTTGACGCTAACCCCACAGGAAATGATTCAAGTACCTGTCAGTGTTGAGCTCTTCCGGAGCCAAAAGTGGTTGCTTTAGGTCTCCAACTTTGTCAGGCCCTGGGGCTGAGGAGACTCTGGTATTCCCAGGTCCGGCAGGAGCAGGGAGCTCAGGTCCTGGCTGTCCTTTGACCGGTGGGTGCCCAGCTGGGCTGTCCCCTGGCGGGTCGGCTGCGGCCTCCATTGGCTGAGTCTGATCAGGGCAAGCTGGGTCCTGACAGCTCCCTGGCCGCGCTGAGTCAGCAGCCACGCCGGGAAGCAGCCTCGCAGTACCTGTTTCAGGCAGGTCACCGGAGGAAGCGCATGCCCGCATCTCAGCTGGGCTCAACAGGACGCCACCCTGGGCTCCCCCAGCAGCTCCTGCTCCAGAGGCTGGCCCAGGGGCTTCGTGCATGTCTCTGATGCTGGCAGCAGTGTCCAGCTTCCTCTCACTCCCGAGTGTGTCAGGGCTCCTGCGCTCATTGTCAGCCTGGGGCTCCATCCAAACATCCCCGCAGGGAGAAGATGCATCTAGGGCAGCGGTGGATCCTGGGCCCCCTGGAAGAGCACAGTCCAAGAGCATGTCTTCTCTGTGTCTTGCCAGTGTCTCCAGGTCCTCTTCTCCAGGGGTCTGGGGAGACACCTGGAAGCCACTGGTGTTCTCTGCAGGGGTCCCCTGAGCAGTCCCAGCAGAGGAATGACCTGAAGTTAATTTCTGCTCATCCTTCCCTGGGGATAAGGGAGCCCAGACTCCCAGCACCAGACACGCCTCCCCAGTAACCTCTGACCTCTCACTCCTCTTCACTCTTGGGACACCGGTCACCTTCTCTTCAACATAGGCATCTGGAAGGTTCTGTGCCACCACCAGCCCCATTGGACCTGGAGGCTTGTCGGAAGCTGCACCCTCAGGAATCGGATGAACAATCTCAGCCTCGGCAGCCAATGTTTGCTTCTTCTCCACCCAGAGCCCAGCAGGAGGTGCAGGGAGAGGAGCAGCGACAACTCCTTGTATCCCTTCTAGAAGCTTCTCCGGGCTTCGTGATCTGGTGAGGTCTTTGCCTGCTGTACTCCTTCCAGCTCCTATCTTTTCACTCTGGGATCGCTCAGCAGCTGGGGGTCCAAGCACAGACTGTTCAAAGATCTTGGTGATATGTTCTCTGAAGTCGGGGAGCCCCGCGATCACACTGGCCGGCTTGGAGCTGGTGCCCATGCTACCCGATGCCCCTTCCCTGGGATCTGAAGATGGCTGGACCGTTCCATCCTTGCTGAGCTCTGTTGCTCGAGCCACATCACCTGCAATTCCATCCTCACCTGCAGGCCCCACGGAGATCTCACAGCGCCTGGCGTCCGCCCCGGGGGCTGGAGACACTCGCTCCTCCTCTGTTGTCTGCTCACCCTCCACCAGAGGAGGCGGCCCGGCTTTGGGACTTCCACTGCCAGCCGGCACTGCAGAGTTTCCCCCACTTGCAGGTCCTGGTTGTAAGAGCGAGTCACAGGAGACAGCAGACAGCCTCCCATTTTCCAAGGCCAGCAATGGTTCCTCTATGTGGCAGGGGCTTTCACCAGGAGTTCTGGAACCTTCCGTAGAAACAGCTTGGGCTCCATTGTCTCCTGCTTCCTTTCTAGCAGCACCATCAACCTGCAGGTCAAATGGGTCAGGCCCAGCATCTTTAGGTGGCCCAGACAAGAGAAGCCTCTTTGAATCAGTGACAGTCCCACGTGCAGAAATATCTCCGGTGCTTCTGGGAATCTCACCCAGCCCTCGGGCTGGCAGCAAGGCATTCTGGCAGCCGGGCATGAGCTGCTCAGCTTGGTGAGGCTCATGCAGGTCTGAGATGGAAGATTCTGCCTCAGAGGTGAAGCAATGCTGATCTGGAATGAAGTCCCCACTCAGGGCCGCCACGGGGCGCTCTGCAGCCTGCCGCAGCCCTGGGCATCCTTGCCTGTTCTCACCAGTCTCAGCAGCCTTCGCTCCACCATCTTGGTCCTGGGGCACTGGGGAATTTTCCAGAAGCTTCTCCAACCCTGCATCCGCCATGGCTGGGCACTCCATTTCCTGCTGCGTGGCCGGCACTGGTGGCTGCCTGTCTTCCTGGGTTGCTTCTTTCTCTGGGGCATCCTGGGTGGGTGTGGCTCTGGGGCTGGCAGGCTCTGGGGCTGGCAGGCAGTGTGCTGCATCCTGGGACACTACGGAGTCAGGTGGACAAGGCAGGGCCTCCATTGTGTTTCCACTTGCCATCTCTGTCTCGCCCAAGCCTAGGGGCGTGGGGCCCATGTGACCGGCCTCTTCCTGCTGGCTCCCTGCATTCATGGCATCATCCAGCTCCTGTTGGGACTTGTTTAGCCCCTGCCCAGGAGAGCAACTTTCCTTTCCACCCAAGTTCTCTGCAGGAGAAGCATCATTTAAGGTGTCAGCTGTAGCTGTAGCAGGTGAGACCCTTGATGACTGGCCACCATCGTCTGCTCCCTCTTGCCTATTCTCCCCTAGTGCAGGTGACTTCTGTCCTGTTGGCGTTGATTCTGGCTGCTTGGATGGAGCATGCCCCAGAGCCGTGTCCTTGGGAGATGAACTTGGAGCATCAGACTGACTGCCTTTGGAGGCCTCATGTTGACATTCCGATCTGGATGCCTGCGCTTGTCCCTCATGAGCTGGGAATCTTGTACCTATCTGAGGCTCCACGGGTTTGTGGTTTGGAGAAGAATCTGCACGCTGGCTTTTATTATCAGGATTGCTTGAATAAGGTTCTTTCTCGTTTGCAAGTGGCTGGGCCTCTCTCCTGAGCCCATCCAAGATGGATGCTTCAGGGTACAATGGGGCTGGTTGGAGATGGCTCTCTACAGGGACCGAGGGCCTCTCGGATGCAGCTCCTCTTGTCCAGCTATCTCCCTCGCCGGATGCTGTCCCCTGACAATCTTGCTCCACACTAAACATCGTGAGGCCACAATCCACTGCTGAGTTCTCCCGGTCAGGGGGAGGCCATCTATCAACGTCAGTGTCCTGACCAGCTGCATGGTGCCCGGGCCCAGAGGGTTGACCAGGGCATGGCAGCAAGCTTTCCCCACTGCACGGCCCTTTGGGAACCGTGAGCCTGACACATCCATCTGATGCCAGGGGCAGAATGGGGTCCTCCTCAGGGAGTTTGTGTAGCGAGGTAGCTGCATCAGCCATCGGCTGCCATGCTGCCTCTGCTAATCGAGAGTCTGGCCTGTCCTTGTGTCCAGCGTCCCCATTTCTGGGTGGCTGGGCTGAGACTGACTGAGGAGGGGATCTGTTCTCTACATCACTGCCTGGCTTTGAAACCTCTTCTTTGCCCACCTGTGGATTGGGCTTGCGGACGCAGGCCTGAGACGCTTCTCCCTCTGCGTTCCCCTGATCTGCACCACCGGGTGCTTCTGTAGCATCTCCCTGTCCACTATGGGTATCTCCAGATGATCCACGTTCCTCTCTAGCCACAGCGGGGTGTTCAGCATCCTCCGGGGCCTTGGCTCTCTCCTGGGACCCCACTGACCTTCTGGTACTTTCACTTGAAGCCCCCAGATGAGGAGGGGGCACTGGTGTCCCTTGGGCGACTGCACAGCTCTGTTCCCTTTTCCAGAGTTCTCCCTGCTCCTGGGGGTTCAGGACAGGGGATTCTCTGTAGCTCCCTTCTGGGTGCCCTTGCTCTCCTCCCAGAGCTGATGATGGCTTCTCCCTTCCCACCAGCCCTGCCTCTGTCGGCTCTGTGGTGGGATCTGTAGAAACTGGCACTGCGATCTCAGAGTCGGTCTCCCTGGCCAGCCAGCTGGGTTCTCCTGTGGTGACAGAAATCTGTGCTGCTGGATGTGCGGTGGGGCTTGGGGCTAGATCTGCCTCCTCCATCTGAGTGAGTAGAGCGGCCTCTGCACTCACAAGCAAGCTTCCCGAATCTGGCTGGCTGCCCGCTGCCACGCCAGCCTGTGGACGAGACTCGGTTCCTGGTGGCCCTGTCTGTGGGTGGCTCTGAGCATGTGTGCCACCCAGAGCCTCGGCAGGACACGGCGGTAGGTGACACGGCAGCTCTGTGGGAGGCACGTGTGCTCCCCTTTGCTGCTGGCAGCTGTCTTGGGCAAGGGTATTTGCGTTGGCATGGTGGGCCACCCCTGAATTGTTGCTAGGGGGATGGCAGGCCCTGAGGAATTCCAGGCTGTCTGTGCCCCACGGATGCGATGCTTCCCCTGGGCATTGCCCCCTGTCTGAGGCTCGCAAGGCTGGACCTTGTGGAGCTGTGGTTTCAGCTGAGCTCCCTTTGTCCGGCGGGGTTACCATGCTGGTACGGGACTCTGAGGAGGGATGGCCACCTGCACCCTCTTTCCCTTGGGCCTTGAACGCATCAGCCTGGCCACCCGCTCCACACAGAGACGCCTCCCATGACTCCCCAGGAGGCACTGGAGAGATTCCCGGCAACTGGTCAATACAACGGGACCATTTGTCGCCTCCATCACTAGGGGCGACGGCCACCGTCCCGTGCTGAGTAAAGCCGTCCTGCTCGGGGGTGAGTGCTGCCCCCAGCCCCCCTGGGCCGTGGGGGTGGGGCTCCTTCCTGGACTGCTGGACCAGGCCGCCGCCCTCCTGGATTGCCCTGGGCCTTGCCAAGTCACCTTCCGGGGAACACTCGGTGAAGGGCATGGGGACGGAAGAGCAGGCCTGCCCCGGGGGTGGGGCTGGGCTGGGCACCGCAGCACCTCCTGGCTCCCTGGTTTCCTGGGCGTGTGTCTTTGGCTCAGTCGCCTCTGGGGACAGGATGCACGGGTCCAGGCTGGCAGGATTTCCAGAAGCGGAGCAGGAGCCTGTGAGCCCAGCCCTGCCAACAATGAAAACGTTTAATGTTTCATTGGTTCTCATAGACGCCACGGACAGAGCCACATCACAGGCAAAATTACCCAACGTCCCTCCACCCCCGCCCCCCACACTCAAGAAAGCCCACCAAATCCTACTGGATCCTGTGCAGCTCACTGCTGCCCACGAGGGGCCCAACCCCCTGCTCCCATCATGCCACATGCCACCGCAGTCCTGAGAATCAACGTAGGGGGTCTCCAGCACTCAGGCTGGGCCTTTGCATGTGCGTCTGCAGCCAATGGAGGAAAAACAGCAACATGTGCATAGTAGCAGAAAATGCAGGAGGCCCAGGAAGTATTTAATGAGAAGAAACCATCAAGGGGGATTTAAGTCAGTCCTGCATGAATTACAGGGAAGCTCTGAGCAGTCCTAGGATCCTTTGATGTTTGTGTGTGTGTGTGCACAAGATGGTAAACCTGTGCTTTGAAACAGAGATCTATTCTTAAATACAGTTAACTTGATTGTTCACATTGAACAGGTGGTACAGAGAGCGGCCTATTCTAAAGCTCATTCTTTTTTAGTATGGAATTTCTGCATGTGGCGCATGCACACACTGGGGAACAAAATACCTCCATTGTCTCAACTTGAACACAGTTAGCTGGGCAATGTAGGAAAAGAAATCTCTGAAGCACGCAGGAAACTTGAAGCAATGTGGCTCAGAATTACAGCCATTCATAACCAACTACCTATTTATTGCAAAATAGTTGATCAATTATTGTATTTGACAATGTGGCTCCATTCTATACAGTTTTGATTAAATGGATTTTTATTTGTTAACGTTTTGCTTTGTTTGGGGTGGTATGCGCCTTTGAACTCAGGGCCAGCGCCTCATGCTTCCTAGGCAGGTGCTCTACTAGTTGAGCCATGCCTCTAGCTCCAATTCATTTTTTGGTCAGTCATGGAGCTGAACTCTGGGCCTGAGTGCTGTCCCTCAGCTCTTCAGCTCAAGGCCAGCACACTACCACTAGAGCCACAGCGACACTTCTGGCTTTTTTTTGGTGCATTTTTTATTGCAAAAATGCTGTACAGAGGGGTTACAATTACATGAGCAAGGTAATGAGTAATTTCCTATTGAGCATTGCTTTTTTTTTTTTTTTTGCTTATGTGGTACTGAGGAATCAAACCCAGGTCCTCATGCATGCAAGGCAAGCACTCTACCACTGGGCCATCTTCCCGGCCCTAGCTCCAATTCAATTTTGTCCTGGTCCTGGGACTTAAGGACTTAGGAACTGTCTCTAGGCTTTTTTGTCTGCTCAAAGCTAGCACTCTACCACTTGAGCCACAGATCTACTTCTAGCTTTTTGCTGGTTAACTGGAGATAAGAATATCAAGGACTTTCCTGCCCAGGCTGGCATTGAACCATGATCCTCAAATCTCAGCCTCTTGACTAGCAGGATTACAAGCATGAGCCACTGGCGCCTGGCTCTCCAAAGCACTTTTATTTTACAAATAATACACATCAAATACAAAGCTTGGAAAACAAAGGAAAAAGATACTGTATGAGCTTGCCACTTTCAGTATTCTGGCAGCTTTCCTTTTTCTTTTTCCCCTCTATAATTTCTTAGGGTGGGGGTGGACAGCTGTGATTCTTGTACTTGTTCTGAATTTATATTTTCCAGTATCCCAAGAGGAACTGCTCAAGGCAAAGTTAGCAGAAATATGATTTTTCTAGGGCTTCTATCCTCTTCCTTAAAGGTATTATAAAGAGGAAAATAATAAAGGAAGTTAATGGAATCCTTTGTTATGACATATACACATTCAGAGAGGGGAGGGGAGAGATCTACAGTGTTCTGGATGTGGCCAGAGGAAGGATC